GGAATTTGGAAAATAACCGGGAAAAACCCGTGAATTCTGCAAGAAAACCGGGAAAATAAATTAACCATATCATAGGAACAAATTTTTACATCAGAATTTCAGAATAAACCATTAAAACAGTGATCCTTTAGCAAATGAATGTCTTGCTCTATTTGTTGCATACTTTTCTTCAGTATACCGTCTTATTGTTTTTAGAATTTAATCACTCAGCAATATTGCAAATTGATTTTTGTCGTTTCAATTTCAGATGTAAAGTGCATGGTCCTCTAAAGAAAAGATTGAAGATGCTGGAGTTTGGAAACAAATATTTGTAAAAACCGAAACTGAATTATTCTTTTCCGGGGTTTTAAATTTTCGTTGCTCAAAATTCTCATGATGAATTCCAGAATTAACTTGGAATTCTGCTCTGAATTATCTTGAAATTGTTCTGAAATAAACCAGAAAACACTCCGCGTAATAATTACCGTTGAATGCTTTTAGGAATTTTCTTCCAACCCCTTCTAAGAATTTATTGGAATCCTTCATATAATTCCCGTTCCCGCCTATCCGGAGACTTTGATTCCTTTAAAAATCTTTTCAAACATTCCTTTTAACTCTATTCAAAACAAAAGAAATCTTTCGAAAATTAATTTATAAACCCCTTGGAGTATTTTAAAGAATTTCTTTCTAATTATCAGCAAATTTTTTGGAATCAATTTTGTTTGGGTTATGTGATGAATCATTCGCACTAGGGTTGAAATTATTGCCAGAACATTTTAAGAACTCTGTTTCTTGTTGAATTCCGATCATAATTCTCTTGGAATTCTTCTTAAAATTCATCTGTCATGTTCCTCACGATGCCCATACAAATCTCATCAGAACCACGTAGGAATTTTCTGCAATGTTTTATTTTTATTTTCACAATTCTTTTTTAAATCCACTAAAATTACCTAACAGTTTAATTTAGAACTTGCATTCTTCTCCAAAGAAATCCTTCCAAATTCATCAAACAATTTCTATGGATTTCATGTAAGAATAATTCTGGAAATCAGCTCTTCTCCTTCGAAAACTGTGTGGGAATCCTTCTCAATATTTGTTTTTAATCAACACTTTGAATTCTTTTAAATTTTACTAAAAATTCCAGGGTTTGTCCGCCAGATTCTACAGATTGCTATGTAATTTGTTATTACCCTTAAAATGCTTCCAAGTCTCAGAGCGTGACAATTATGACTCCACGACTCATAAGTATGATGTTTTTTTTTTATAAATCTGTGATCTTGAAAAAATTTAAAATTTCACATTTTAATTATTGTTTCTCCAAATCTTGCATCACGAAGCATGTTATTAATCACAAATTTTGAAGAAAAGTTCTAGTTTCAGACTCTACACAAATTTCAAAGCTCCAGAATCTTGGGAATCTTCTTAAATCACATTTTTTTTATTCTATCAGTAAATTTTGTTTTTTTTTTGTTGCATATTAACAACCGGGAATTTTTAAGATTTGAACCGGAAAAACCGGGAAAAAACCGGGATTTTCAAAATGAAAATTCACTGGCCACCCTGATTGATTCTCGTAATCAACTTTCTTTTTGAAAAAGATTACTACAAATTTGGATCGCCTGCAATTCAAAACCGGAAAGAGTAGAGATAATAGATATTAAATATCTATTATTTTGATCAATTAAAAGAACTTAATGCTCTTCACATTTATTCCGTCCACTAGCGGTCCTACGTCAAGCTTCCGTTTGTGCCCCTAGGCACAGACCCTTCTACTTTTTTTGACACTTAATTTTAAAAGCATGACATATTTTTCAGAAATTGATGTAATATTCAGGCATAAGACGCTATTTCACATCTAGATGTGTTTATTATTAAATGTCGACCTTTTTTTTTTTAAGTGCGTCTATGTGCACATAAAATTAAGTCGTTTGTCGAATTACATGACAAGAAAATTAGATAATACGTCAATTCAAGCTCGTGTAATTTTCAGTTTTTTTTAGAGTGTAGGGTAGAGAGCTACTTCAGCCTAATTGCCCATATTGGGCCTATCGAGCAGAAAACATCAAATAAAACCATGATTTCGGATATAAGTCATATGGTCAATTATGCGTTTGGTACGTTACTTCTGTTCAAAATCTACCGAACGAAGTCAATTAGAACGTGTAATATGAATGTTTGCACCCATTGTTCTCGAAAACTAAAGGTCAGAGCGCCTCTGACCGAATCAATTTTTATCTTCATCCGATAGGCCGAAGTGAATTCAATTGCTTTTCAATGGCGTTTCAATGCGTTAGGCCGAGTTTAGAATCCGCAGGCCGAGTTTGAGGTCAAGAAGCAGTGCTATTTTTTTAAACAATATATCAACAATGTGTTACTCTTTATCAAATCTTACGATACGTACGGAAAGATAAATAAATTTGCAGTGACAACATTCCATTTTGTGAAAAATAGAGGCTAAGGGCGGGTTGTGCTTAGTTACTAGGCCCAAAATTAGATCTAAGTCCTACTTTTGCTTTTTGTTGTACAGAATCTTACAGAAAAGCAAGTACGGGAACAGAACTATTGTCAAACAATCATGATAGGGTAGGTGTTCCAGTAATAGTGGTGCACCTATAGTTGCAGTATGGGGACTATGCTGGAATAATGGTGGAAAACCAAACTAATTTATTTTTCATCCGTAACACTCCTAAAATAAAGTTGATTAGCATATTAATCCACTATAATAGGAACCACAGTTAGCAACTACAACAACTACTGAACAGTGTTCCTATTAATTGACGTTTTTCAAAAAATATGCAATTTTTTCACAATGTAATCTTATATATGTAATAGAGGTGTAAAGGAATAGATTTACGTTGAAACAATGTATGAAGAACATAGTTGAAGGGCCTAATTTCAAATAACAGACTGAAGTGGTAATTTTTATACGATAGATGAGGAGATGAAAGCATAGAATTGATAGTTCCGTTTAAAGTACGGCAGCGTGAAAATTGCATAAAGAGAGAGAAAGCGAGCTAGAAAACTTTTAGGAAGGTACAAATCAGTTTTATCATCGCTCTTTACCAAACTCCCCCTTTGGAAAGGGATCTCACTTCAGTCTGTTATTTGAAATTAGCATCTTCAACTATGTAAATCGTTGACTTTACGCAGAAGTAATACTAAACATATAATCAAAGTATGAAGAACGTTTACTTACATTTTAATAATTAAATTTACTTAGTTCCTCCACTACTAGCACACCCAGCCTAACAATTTCCGTTTTCATGGACAACATATTTTCATTTTTATTAATCTGACAAATTACAAAATAATATTTACGTTATAATAATTAATTATGTATTGCCTTTTGATATGCATCGAAAATAAATCAATACTTTCCGTTTTCTCCGGACTGTTGGACAATGTGCACCAGGTAGGTTGGTAATGTGAATGATGGAAGCGTTTTTCTTGAAAAAAAAACAAAACCAAGGAGGCATGATTCAAGGAGATGAATACCTCATTGGGCGTGGTTAAGCTATGAAAATCTTCCGGCTTCTTTCTGCACTCACTCATTGTTTCCTCATGGAAAAAAATCCAGTTGGAAAAACATTATCCGATTGAAACTCAAGTACGAATGAGGTTAAGAATACAATCGGAAAGATCAGAAGTAGGCTGATCAAATCTAAAACTAAAATACATTCTAATGCTAAAAATATGAAAAATAACACATTGGCAATATAATTGCGTCTAATCTTATAAGAATTTCCACACCACCACGTAACATCGTATTAGATTTCCGGCTTAAGACCAACTGCCACGTATACAGTCTTAGGATGGGAAATGTCTTCTTAGAAGCTGTAGATAATGATAGTCTGTGAACCAACGGTGCCCATGTCTGCCCGGCTAGCTCAGTCGGTAGAGCATGAGACTCTTAATCTCAGGGTCGTGGGTTCGAGCCCCACGTTGGGCGCTTAGCTTTTTTGCATCATCATCATCATTCAGTGTTTGCCTTAATTGTTGACAAACATTTATTTGTGAGAAAAATCAGAACTATTCAAACACAATCAACCCTAATTCCTCTAGCTATACTAGCTCTTGTAAAAACAAACTCACCACCTACTGCCATTAAAGCCCTTCAGTAAAAGTATGGAGGACTGTCAATCGAACTGTCAAAATATGGTACAATCGATCAAAGCTAGTGAAAATAGTCAAATCAACGTAATTACTTTTGAAAACTATAGGGCTATAGCATAGGGGTTCAAACGTCCATTTACCAAAACTGATAACTTGCCCACGCTGTCCCCCAGCAGGAAGGGGAAATTTTCCCCTGTGTTAATTTCTGTGGGTGAGCTGATAGCTGATAGTTTCAATGAATTGACATTTGAAGTCATCGTTTACAATTTACTCTAGCCTCTGTTCGATCGGAACAAATTGTGACAGTTCCATTGGAACATCGTGGTGACAGTCGTCTATACTTTTACTGAAGGGCTTTAGCTGCGACGACATTGATACATCGATATTCCCCTTTATTCACCATAGACGAAGAAACGTTTCACTCAGTTCCACTATTCACCACCAGGCACCGTCACATGGTTTAGATCTTGACAGCGCAGAAAATCAACACAAATATACCCAGGGGTGAAACATTTCAAACACATCGCCACTTTTTTTTTTTTTGCTTTTTGATTCTATTTTATTTCCACCAGTCCGGTAAGCGTACAATAGTTTTATATAAATCGTTTTTTGTATAATGTTTCATTTATTTAACATACATTGTTCGGGTCGTTTCGCCCTGCTTTTTCTGTATCTGTTTCAGCCAAGCTTGCATTTTCGAACGAATGTTCTGTTCATTGATGAAATCTTTTGCTGTTAATAATCGTTTAAGCGTTTCCTAAATATTAATCATTATCGTCATGGTTGTTGGCTCTTTCCGTACAGCTGCTGTAGTTTCAATAATTGGAGTAAGTTTACTTCCTGTTTGGATATTGACATTTGCTGAAGACATTAGATTACGCTAGAACTAGTTATTTGGTTTGTTTTGAAATTCGGTAGGTTTGCCTCCCACATATGCCACTTTTTCACTGGTAAAAAATGGTTTGCTACTAATTCCATAAGTCTTTTCCCATAATGCCTATCTATCAAAAATGATCACTACTTGCATTTCGCTTGTCTCACTTGTCATGTATGTATAAAAACATGTTGCCTATGTATATCGGTGCTATTTTTGTTTACTATTATAAGTCGTCGGAGGAAGACTTCATCTTCTGGTTGTGTATAAATGGCTCCGTGTTCACTTGGCCTGAACTCTCATTTTAACATTGAACGCTTTTGTGAACTGGGTTCCCTCTTCTCCTACCGGGAGACATCAGGGTGTGTAACAATAATTATTGCTTCTTTTGTTTACATGAATTTACACAAGCTTTTCGTTTCCTATCTCTGTGTGTGTGTGTGTTTGAGAGTGTCTTTTGAGTTGAGATTTGCATACCGTCTAGCAGCCCTGCCTTATCGCTGTCCCGTTCGATCTATTCCGATCAGCTTATCGAAGAAGGAGCAATAGGAGCGATCGTTGTTGTAGTAGAATGGATCCTCCAGGATGTCTTTGGCATGCGACAGGGTTGCGGATGCAAGCTCTCCAACGGTCCACTTGCGGTCTTTCAGCACCCGACAAACGGTGTCCAACTGGAATGGCGAAAAATATAGTTAAAATTTTCTCAAAACGATGAGGAAATTACATTTTTAATATTTTTTTTCTTATTCATTGTACACAAATCCCCAGAAGAACGCGATGGATGGTGCTGTCCACCAATCGAGCTACACAGTTCGAAAAAGTAGTGTAAATTTTTGTTCAATATGATGCACATAAATGGAGCGTCACATATCATATACGTTTACATTATATATCATGTAAAGTTCTGACACATTTCATGCAATGTAGTAAATATTGTATACAAAAGCCCATCTTTGTAAACAACATTGTTTGCAAGTTGCTCGGTTGCGTGAAATGAAGTACAAGTCTACGTGAATGAATGTTTACATCACAATTAAAATTCAGAATTTTTATCTGTGTAATTTGAAACAGCCGAGAAAAAGCGTTTAGGATCAATCCGATCGCTTCCAGTTGAGTGTGTAATTGCATTACCTGAATTTATATACACACCTTGAACTATTTTGATTACTTGTACACTCTGATATATTAGTAGTCATCGATAGTTTACAATTGATTCATTTTTGTCATTCGCGAGGTTTACACGTAGCTTAGTATAAAAAGTATACTATCTTCAGTATATAGTTTAAACTAAACCGGATTTGTGCGAGAGTATTTTGACCAGTGTATTCTTTAGTAAACAATCATGGAGAAATGGAACAGTTTCTGTCATCTGCCGGCTGATTTTACGTGTAGCGTTGTCTCGAGGTGTTCCTTCGTGTGCCAGATCCGGGACTGGTCCAAGCATCGGGAGAACCTGCGTCAATGTTCGAACAAAGTTGAAATTGGAAACGCTCAAGAAACACAAGAAGGTGGTGGTGGTGGATAAGCCAGGCGATGCTGAAAAAGGCAGAAGGGGAGATGTTCGGAGTGGTCGTCCAGTGCCTTCCGGCGGATCAACCGAAGCGATGCTGGGTAATTTTGGTAGATTACGAAACTCAGTGCGACAAGCTGCTGCGTGACATCAATGGTCAGGTTAATCCGGAACGGAAATCGATAGGTACGATAATATACTGGTGGGTGACATCTATACGGCTCCGTATGAGGGCATCTACTACCGGGTGGTGATTTTGGAAAAGGTATGTATCGTGCGTTGAGCTTTTGAAGACAATAGCATGTTGCCGAAACTAATGAGTGATGGTATTGACTGATTTTTCAGATTGACTCTGCTAAATCTCTGGTCAAAATTCGACTGATCGACTTCGGAAACGAAATGATTCTGCTGACTGCCGACCTACGTGCTCCGCTTCCGATGATAAAGAATCTTCGTGCGTTTGCATTTCTTATTGAGATTCAGAATCTGAATCAACCTCTTGAGTTGACCGAAGTCATTCGGATTATTATCATTCGGTCGGAGAGCGATCGGAAGATTGTAGATATGGATCAGACGCGTTTAAGTTTGTTACATTGGCTTGGGAACACGACAGTCGGAGAGGGTAGAATCGTGGCCACTTTTTCTTCTCGGAAAGCGCTAGTTTTGCTGGCGTCTGAACCGGCGATGCCAATCATGAAAATTTTGCACACTCAGTTACCGAAAGTAGCTACCAAGTTTCCATTGGCAGACAATTCAAGTGTCGGAGATTTATTTTTCGTAAAATAAAGTAAATTATAATCTTAAAATGTGGAATCATCTGAACGTCGAAAAATTGAATATGTGACTAGTTAAAAAGGGCGATTTCCAAAGCACTTCCGACAACCAAAACAAACTTAGGGGGGCGTGGTAATCGTTTCTGGGATAAACCAGTATTAAACTACGCATGTACATTCAATAGATATACTATACCCCTTATACTTCAAGTTTATACTAGGCTCGTTTTGTAGGCAACTAAACGAAGTCTAGGGTCAACCAGGCGAATATCATTTTAGTGTGACTTTTATACTAATTAGTTTAAATTTGTTTCTGAGTGTATTTTACGGTATAATAAACACTTCCAAACTGTACGTCAAACTAAACTAACGTGTTTTCTGTTGTGCTGCGCTCGTATCCCTGCTCGAATCTTTTCAGGTTATGGGCCCAGCGCTACGCCCGAACCTGCAAAAGTGATCGTCGCGAAAGAATGTGTTTCGTCCGGTCGAGTGAACGGAATTTTCGTTTCGGTCGAGTGAGAGTGTTTTTTCCACGATGTGAACCTCTTTGATGGGAGCAATTTTGACAATTGGAGCTTCCGAATGGAGGTCCACTTTCGTGCATCATACAGGTGGCAGAAGATGTACCAGAATATCGTGTGCTTGCCGCAGACGCAGTTGAGGTTAAGTTGCAGAAGGAGAAGACGAGTGAATGATTTGAAGTGTAAATCGGTCCTGATTCGGAACATAGCGGATTCACAGCTTGAGTACGTCAAGAGACACTCTCCAATGATCAGTGTACGCTCGATTTTGTACGACCTCGTGCTATCAGTGACGATGTGAGGGTGAAAAATGAGTCCTCCGCTTTCGTCGGTAAATCGTTTGGTAAAGTGGCAACCGAGAGAAGAGCAAGCTGAAATGTTATTCGTGCGGAAAGCGCGGACACAAACGAGCGGACTGTCCGAATCGGAAAGAACAAGTCTAGATAGAACTAGAATTAGGGCGAAACAGCTTTTGTAAACAATGACTTCTCTCGATGATTTCTAGATAGCCATGGGCTCTCCCTGGCAAAAAGACATCACCATCGAGTAGGGTAAGACCACAAACGAAGTAACAGACGACTAACTGGCGAAGAAATCCATTTAAATAATGTGGTTCACTGTAATAGAATTTTCTTGGAAGCTTGTGCCATCATCCACCAAATGGGTTAGTTTTTTTGTTTTGATTTGAACAAAGTTGATTTTGAGTACAATGATTCTTTGACAGTGTGCAAAGAGTGCGTATCATTTTGTCATTTTTTTATGCATTTCAGTTTTGAGTAGAGTGAAAGAGATAGAACCAAAACATTCTAGTACATTTGGTGAAAATGCTATTTCAATCTAGTAGTAGTGTTGCCATGTGGTACAATCCAGTAGTAGTGGTGTTGCCATGTGGTACACTGAAAAATTGCAATAGCAGGTTAGTCACCAAAGTTTTCGAGCCGCTCCGTCTGTCACTTCGTTTGTGGTAAGACTTCCCTTACTCGATGGATGTGTTGCTTTATGTAGGCGTGGCTTTAATTCCTAGAAATCATCATTGTTTACAAAGGCTGTTACGCCCTAATTCCAGCTCTATCTAGAAGTGTCGGAAAAGTAGAAAAAGAAAATTGAGCGTAATGGTAAACCTCACGTCAGCGAAAAAGAAGTGGCTTTCGTTAGCAGCCTGGTTAGTGGCAGTATGGATGGCAGTGCAAACGATTCGTAGAACAGTGCCGTGACTTGGATTCTGGACTCGGGGGCGTCCGACCATATGGTCGGGACGATGAAATGGTTGCGTGATGTGAAACAACTGGACAGGCCAGTGATTATCAAAGTTGCGTCAGGGCAAGTGCTCGAGTGTAAACACACGGGGACAGTGGATATGACGGCAAACGTTGGCAAGAAGCATTAAAAGTGCGTTGTGCATGATGTTCTTTACGTCCTGGGATTGCGGTATAACTTGTTCTCGATACCACAAGTGGAAGTTGTGTTCGGGAAGAACAGTGCAGTGATAAAGCAAAATGGCGAAGTTGCTTGCGCTGCCAAACGGAAGGACTGCCTATATGAACTGGACGCGAATGTGTGGAAATTGAAAAGGCAGGAAGCCCTATTAAGTGAAAAGACAATGAGTGATGAAGAGCTGTGGCATAAACGTTATGGCCACATAGGAAGAAGTGGACTGATGAAGTTGGTGAACGATAATATGGTAAGAGGTCTAGTGATGAAGAAAAGTAAGATTCCAGAAAGCAAGCTGTGTGGCCCGTGCTTGAAGGGCAAACGGTAAGCGTTTTTCTTTCACTGACGATTATACCCATTTCTCAGCGGTGTACATTCTGCAGTGCTACAAAATGGTGAGTGATAATCTGGAAGGAGCAAGTTCCTACCTCACGCCTCCACGAGTCATATGATCACAAAAGACTGCCAGCTGAAACACGGACACAGCTGGTTGGCGTAGCCTGGGCAATGTTGTCAATCCGACAATAGCAGAGTGAGGAGGTGCGACGCGAACACTGGCGCGGTAACCATAGCACGGTGATAAAGGAAATGCTTCGCCAACCCGAGCGTCTGTTCACCATGGAGGTGCGGCTCAAACAGCGTCTGACTGGCATCCAGCGGCTGAATAAGAAATGCTCTTCCCCGGAAGCTACACCTAAGACCTTAGGCCAACCACCTACTGTCTCTGAAACCTTTACAATTGTTACAGAAACCAACAGAGAAAGACATCGAACTGATTTAATGGCAACGACTTTTAGCGCAAAACAACGGACACGAATTGGATCATGGAATGTATTGACGTTAGCCCAGCAGGGTAAACTGGCACAACTCGCCAACGAGGCGCGACGCATGAAGCTAGAAATCCTGGGACTGAGTAAAGTTCGTTGGCCAAACTTTGGAGAACACAAACTGCCGTCGGGACAGGTACTACTATACTTTGATATTCGAGGTGAAAACGCTCCCCGCCATCGTGGAGTTGGTCTCCTACTTAGCGTCCAGGCAGGTACTGCGCTCATCAAGTGGGAGCCTGTTAATGATAGGATAATCGTTGCCAGATTTAGAACACGGGTTCGTAACCTTACCATAATCCAATGTTATGCGCCAACCGATGCTGCCGAGCTACAGGACAAGGAGAATTTTTACAGTCCAAAGGGTGACATCAAGATCTACACTGGCGACTTCAATGCGAAGATCGGCTCCGACAACACGGACTATGAGCGTGTCATGGGACGCCATGGTCTCGGCGAAATGAGCGAGAACGGTGAGCTGTTTGCAGAATTTTGTGGCAATAACGACATGGTGATCGGGGGTTCGCTCTTCCCCCATCGGCCAGTGCATAAAGTCACGTGGGTTTCCCGTGATGGACATACCGAAAATCAGATCGACCACATCTTCATCAGCCGAAAATGGAGACGGAGCTTTCTTGATGTCCGGAATAAACGCAGCGCCGACATCGCGTCTGACCATCACCTTCTAATCGGCGAAATCCGCCTACGCATGGCGCGGATCCAGCGACGGGAGGAGAGACTCGGGTGGCGGTTCGACACACGCCGACTTGAAGATCCAGCGGTAAAAAGGTCTTTTGTTGAAGAACTTGAAACTCGAGCTGCGGACGTTCCAGAAGGTGGCAGCGTAGAAGAACAATGGACGGCCATCAAGAATGCCTTTATAGAAACAAGCGAGAACAACTTGGGTGAGCTGCGCACCCAGAGAAAAGAGTGGATCACATATGAAACCTGGCGGAAGATTGAGGAGCGTAGAGAAGCAAAAGCCGCGATAGAGCGGGTGAGAACCAGAGGAGCCAAGAACGAAGCCCGTCAACGGTACTCGGCTCTAGAGAAGGAAGTCAAGCGCTCTTGCAGACGGGACAAGCGAGCGTGGGTGAACTCCCTGGCCGACAAAGGGGAGAAAGCCGCAAACACTGGCGATATACGCCTCCTCTACGATATCTCACGACGCCTGAGTGGAGCAAGGATGAACCCGAGGATGCCAGTGAAGGACACGACTGGACAATTGCTTACCGACCCCACTGACCAGCTGAAACGCTGATTTGAGCACTTCGAACAACTTCTTCAAGTTTCGACGGCCAACCAGCCATCAACATCTCGGCATGATCCGCCTAGGGTGCGGCGCATCACTCGCGTCAATTCCGAGGCCCCATCACTGCAGGAGATTGAAGCAGCTATCCGAAGCATGAAATCCAACAAGGCTCCAGGGGTCGATCGCATATCAGCAGAGATGCTCAAAGCTGACCCCATGCTATCCGCACAAATGTTGCATCAACTATTCCGTAATATCTGGGACACCGCGACTTTTCCGGCCGACTGGATGCAGGGCATCTTAGTGAAGGTCCCAAAGAAGGGGGATCTGACTGTGTGCGACAATTGGCGAGGCATCATGTTACTGTGTATTGTTCTCAAAGTTCTGTACAAAGTTATCCTGAATCGGATACAGGAGAAGATCGACGCGACTCTCCGACGGCAGCAGGCAGGATTCCGTGCCGGAAGATGTTGTGTGGACCATATTGTCACGCTCCGCATCATCCTGGAGCAGGTCAATGAATTCCAAGAGTCCCTTTATTTGGTATTCATTGACTACGAAAAAGCTTTCGACCGTCTCAATCACGAAAATCTGTGGGGCGCCCTGAGACGCAAGGGAGTTCCGGATAAAATCGTCAACCTCATCGAAGCGCAGTATGAGGCTTTCACGTGCAGAGTTCTGCATAACGGAGCCTTGTCCGACCCTATCCGGGTAGTCGCTGGTGTGAGACAAGGATGTATACTATCACCGCTACTGTTTCGCATCGTAATCGACGAGATCATGGTAGGTGCAATTGACCGTGTACCGAACCGTGGGCTGCTTTGGCAACCTATCACCATGGAGCATCTCAACGACTTCGATTTGGCTGATGATGTTGCTCTACTAGCACAACGGCGCTCTGATATGCAGAGTAAGCTCAATGACCTAGCCGAACGCTCCTCGACGGTGGGTCTCATCATCAACGTCAACAAGACCAAATCGTTGGATATCAACACGGGCAACCCTTCCAACTTTACGGTAGCGGGGCAAGCAGTGGAGAAGGTCGAAAGTTTCCAATATCTTGGCAGCCAAATAGCGTCGGACGACGGGACCAAGAGCGACATAGGTGCAGGAATCAAGAAGGCTAGGGCTGCCTTTGCGAGTTTACGAAACGTATGGAGATCCAACCAGATAAGTCAACGCACCAAAATCCGAATTTTCAACTCGAACGTGAAATCTGTGTTGTTACTTGAACACTCAAAAGCTGCAGGTCTTCATCAACCGATGCCTGCGGTATATAATTCGTGCCTGGTGGCCTCACAACTGGATCTCGAATGTCGAGCTCCATCGTCGATGTAATCAGAAGCCGATAGCAACAGAAATTCGAGAGCAAAAGTGGAGCTGGGTCGGCCGCACACTTCGACGGGGCGGAAACGAAATCTGCAAGCAAGCGCTGGATTGGAATCCGGCAGGACATCGCAGCAGGGCAGACCCAGGGGCTCATGGCGGCGGAGCCTCAATAAGGAAATTAAGCAAGTCGATAGGAATCTGACCTGGGCCCAGGTCAAGGCAAAAGCGAGCAGCCGCCCAGGATGGAAGTCTTTCACGTTGGCCCTTTGCATCGCTAGTGGTGCACAGGACCCTTAAGTAAGGAAGTAAGTACATTCTGCACACCGAAGATGAGGTTCACGATGCTTTCATGACGATTGCGAGGCGGTTTTGACAGCTGTGTTCATCATCAACCGGAGCCCGACAGCAGCATTGCTAAGCGGAAAGACGCCGTATGAAATGTGGTACGGCCACAAACCCGATGTTTCGAAGTTCCGGATTTTCAGTAATAGAGCCTTCAGTTTTATACCGAAGGAAAAGCGGAACATGTTGGAGTCGCGTAGCTTCTTTGTTGGGTACGGAGTGAATGGCTATCGGTTGTGGGACGGGCGAAATATATTCATTGCCCATTACGTAACTGTTGATGAATCTGCTAAGCTGTTGAGTGAAGGAGGTGATACTTCTGTTGAGGAGCAGGGTTCCGGAACCGTTGAGTTGGCCGGGCCATCACGATCGGCCACTATGGATCCTGAGCCTGCTGCACCGAATTCAACGACGTATGCCGGATGGTGTGAATCCGGCGATTGCTGAGCTGGATGACGATGCGGAGATGCTTGAGGTCAGGGCAGATGAGGAATTCGGTGATTGCGAAGGTGATAGTGAACTTGAAGAGAAATCTGGAAATCTGCCAGAGTGAGCGAAAACGTAATCCGCCAACAAGACTGCAAGACTATTCTTGCACCGATTTTGCCCTTAATGCGGAGAGTTACGTTGACAACCTTCCAACCACAATCGAGGAACTAAGGAAGCGGGATGATAGGCCCGAGCGGAAAGTAGCCGTCGACGAGGAACTCAAATCCTTGGCCAACAACGAGACTAGGTATCTGGTAGATTCGATTCACAAGTAGGTTGGTTGCCAAGGGGTTTACCCAGCGCTATGGCTACGACTTTCACGAAACGTATGCACCTGTAATCAAGATGCCGACCGTGCGGATTATGCTGGCCTTAGCTAACCACCACGGCTTTGTTGTTCATCAGATGGACGTAAAAGCAGCGTTTCTAAATGGGGTTCTCACTGAAGACATATACATGCGTCAGCCCGAAGTATTTGAGGAATGGGAGAAAATATATAAACTCAGCAAATCAATCTATCGGCTGAAGCAGTCTTCCAAGACCTGGAACGATAGATTCGATGAATTCGTGAAGCAGATTGGATTCCGGCGCTGCGTGCAAAATAGCTGTTTGTACGTTCGCCAAGGGAAGTCCGGCCTCGTGTACCTTGTGTTGTGCGTGGATGACGCTCTCATTATGTCAAAGAATCTGCAGGAAGTTGAAGCGGTTAAACGGTTGCTGCTACGAGAGTTTCGCATGGAGGATCTGGGTGAGGCTCAGATGTTTTTGGGTATCCGGATCGAGCGAGATGTCAAAAATGGAGTCATGAAGCTGAGTCAGCCATGCTACATCGAGGCGATTCTTAAGCGTTTCGGTATGGAGGCCTGCAAGCCAGCGTCCACGCCCATGGCAACCAACTTGCAGCTGCAGCGGTCACCGGAAGAGGTGAAACTTGAGAAACCCTACCGCGAGTTAATAGGTTGCCTTACATACCTAATGGTAACCACACGTCCTGATATCAGTGCTGCAGTATCATACTTAAGCCAGTTTCAGTGCAATCCTTCCCAGGAACACTCGTCCCATGTCAAAAGAATACTACGATTCTTTAGAGGAACGACGCAACACGGCTTGGTGTATATGAGAGAGGCATCGGCAATGCAGATAACTGGTTTCGCAGACGCAAATTGGGCAACCGATCCCAGTGATCGCCACCCTGTCTCGGGGTATGTATTCCAGACTTTGGATATCCAAGTTATTGAAGGAGTTGAACCTGTTGGACAAGGAGAACGTTGTTATATTCGAGGATAACCAGTCTGCCATCGCGATAGTTGAATCAGAGGCTCCTTCAAAGAAGCTGGAACACACAGACGTTAAGTTGCAGTTCATCAAAGAGTGTGTTTTGAAGCGGAAGGTGACAATACAGATTGACAGTTTCTTCTGGGAATTTACCATGGAGTGAAAGGATAGTACGAAGTCCTCCATGTTGCACGCACAGTCTGACGTTTGCTTATTGATTTTAACATTGGAGTAAAGAGCTACAGGGTCGCCGTCAACGCCAATAAACACTTCCAAACTGTACGTCAAACTAAACTGACGTGTTTTTCTGTTGTGTGCTCCGCTCGTATCCCTGCTCGAATCTTCTCACACCACCCATCGCGTTCTTCAGAGGATTCCTGTATCACAAATAAAATGGCAGGCGGACTACAGGCAAATCACCTGAGGTTAAAGAGCTTCGCACAATGCCGAGCACAATGCATCCGGATCTGATCCGTTGCAGCAAATCGGACAGTTGGACAAAATGTGCATCAATTGAGCATAATATAACCAATATCCCAGCCAGTATCCATTTTTAAATCAGTTCCATATGATACAGGAATAGGATATTCTTCCAAAATTCAATTGCTGACATCAATAGAGCTTCAATGATACAATACAGTAGAACACATCATCACAATTCATCAGAATCCAACAAAGAATAAAAAACCACCCTACCTTCGACAGTTTCTCGTTCCCAGCCGTGTAGTAGATCAAGTACGGTAAACCGGCAACACTGGCAGCCATCCACTGAATCACCATCTTCAGCTGGACGTCACCGCGTTTGGAATCTCCGCAGCCCCAGTTCCCGGTGGCCACCGGTCGCAGGTTGACGTCTAGTGTGCGCTTCTGAGCTAGCTGTGAAATCTTAGAAGAAGGCATTCGTTAGAAAAATGTATTCCATCCAGTTCCTATTTGCTGTTAGTACACTGTAGATCTGCCTCGATTGGTGTGAGAAAGCAATGATACAAAAATATACACACAAAACAAAAATGCACCACTTTTCTATGCACTATACCTTCAGCGTGACGTCTTCGCACTTAACGTCCTGATAGTACGAAACGGACCAGTTCGGTTTGTAGTTCTGTAATCGGGTCTTCAGAGAAGACTGCCGCTCTGCGGACCTCTTGTGTAGCTTCTTCTTTGCCCGAGGCGGAACCACCGGACGCGGTCCGGACGTCGTGGAGCAAATTGAACTACTGGAGCGCAATCTGGAGAGCAGCTTCCTGTGGTCAGCCTGGTTCAGCTGAATGTTGGGACATTTGAAGAGTTTGGCCGGCTCCAACGCTAGGTACTCATTGCGCTAGTGCGGATCAATCAATCATGATGGGTGTGGAAGGTGTGGATGATGTATTGTACAATGAAACCAAACCAAAACCAAAGCCGGGTGGAACGGGGAGGATGGAAATAAAACGAAACCAAAATGGTTCAAAAAAGAAGTTAAAGTGTAAACCAATTGAGTCGTTCTAGAACTTTTGTCTACCAAACCCAAGCGAAGCCAAATTTTTGCCAATCGCTCAATCACCCGTGGGAAAAGATTCTATACCTATCGGAACACTTACCAGTTGTGCCGCAAGTTTGTGCTTGTGCTTCGCCAGCTCCAACGATAACGATCTCACATTCAGTACAAGCTTCTCCTTGTGACTACCATTGCTCCTTATCGTAGTTCCTTCCGAACCCTTCTCGTCACTCAAACCATCCTCTGAAAATGGAACTCCTACGAAACTTTCACTGAGCGTCCGTTTCAGAAGCGAATTGGCGAATCTGAGGACTGCTTCGTCCCTGGCATCCAACTTCTTTGGTTTTTCGCTACTGATGGGCTCCTCTAACCACCTAAAATGCAGAAAAAAAATACTTCAATTACGATTTCATTTGGAACCCTCAGCCCTCGTACTTGGCAAACTTCTCGTAGACCTCCTCCAGTTCCGATCCCAGATCCGAATCGAAACTGTACCTGGAAGACTCGTTCGTTTCGTTCCTCTCCAATATCCCGTTTTGCTTCTTTTTGCATCGATCGAACCATTCCCGTTCCTCCTCCGTACTTCCCATAGATCCATCCAACACGAACCCACACGATCCACCCCGCCTTACTGTAATATCCTGATCTTTGGTCTGCGATCCACTAACACTAATTCCCACCGCATAGCTACTGTCTTCCTCCGTACTTCCGGAGGGCAAATTACTATCCTGTAAAGCCTCCCGCAACCGTTGAGCAAATGTAAACCTCCTCTCTGGAGTGTCCAATTCGGTCGAATACTTCCTCGCTCGCAATCCGTCTTCATCGTCCTCATCGAAACTGTCGCGCGCACTATGGAACTCATCGGTACTCGATTCACAGCTGGAAAACGAATCCTTCAACATGGGAATCCTCAACGGGTGCCGATTCACTGGAAGACACTCCCCGGAAGATCCTAGAACTATAAACTTTCCCCTATGACCTCCCGTCAGCACTCCACTCGTCGACCCAGTCGAACTGTTAATGGTCGACGCTCCTCCTAGGTTACGTTCCGGAGTTAGCCAAGACCGCCTCTTGTTAATGTCTCTCTCCAGCTTGTTCGAATCACTACTGGAACGTTTCGAGTTCGGCGTTGGTTGCTTAATAAAGATCGTCGTACAAAAGTCCGGTGATCCGGGCGTTGAACCTTCCCGATCGCGCTCCCCTATGGGTGACAGTCGACCCTTGCTGGAAGCACTTTCCAGCTGATCCAAACGAGTCGGTCGTAGCTTCTCGTTTGGTCTTGGTTCCACCACCGGACAGGTTGTGTTCTGTCTAAACGCTAAAAGGCACTTGTTCAACTCACGTAGAATGTCATCCTCTTCGAACTGATGTGACGGAATCGCCCGATAATTCTCCGCATCGATACAGCACAGCGATGTCTTCTTCGGTTGCTCGATCCGTTCGAACAAAGCCTTTCCCTGAGGATCCACTATCCGTGCCACATGGTGAGCATATTCGACCTGTAGCGACTCGTTATCTTCCAGAGCCTCCACGTACAACAACACAGCCAACATTTCCGGGAAGGTAAAGAACTGCAAGGATTCTTGCGAATCTCCGGACGCCAGGACGTCACCACCCAACCGTGCATTGGCAAAAACCGTTTGCATCGTATCGGAACTGGTCTTGTCCAGGCGACCTTCATGCTTGATATCTACGTCACACAGCGGCAGTCCGCACTCCAGCCAATCTTCGATCGTCAACCACTGCTTGCCGGTCATAACCTTCCTACTGACTTTGAGCGACCCTTCCAGCACCGACGGATTTGCCTCCAACCAATCGAAATAGTTGAGGAAGCTTCTAAATTTGGCCTTTTGTACATTACTCCTGGAAGAGAAAAAGACGAGACAGGTTTTAGATGATCCTTAAGCAGCAAGCTCGCTATTTTGAACTCACTCGACTAATCCTCTAAAGAAATACGTAAAATTGAAGTCTTGTAGCGTGGGATGAGTTTTCTCAGTACGTTTTGGAAATGTGGAGAAGAAGGCATTGGCAATGAGGGCCGCCACCAGCCGGTAGCTGAGCTCATAGCAATCGGTTTGCTGCTGGAGGCTGAAGCTCAGTCCCCTCGGCGGACGGTGCAGCTTAAGGTTCCGGGCATGCTGGGCGATATGTTTGACGGTGTGGTTCAGGAAGTGCGTTCGCTCTTCCTCGTTCAGCGTGTGGTGGAAAAAGTGCTGCAGTCCGTCGAACACTCCCTGGTCCTTGCCGTCGTCGTCCGGGTCCAGACTGACACTGGAAAGAGGAAGGAGAGAATTAGGTTAATAAGGTCTTAAAAATTTGGCTACTGGGTTCACTAAGTTGAGAAGTGTTCTTTGATCATTTTCACAATTGTTAATTTAGAGGTTTCTAAGCTTGTACCGTTTTCACATCAGTATTATTGTGGGGCAAGTGCCCATGGAAGTTGAGAAATTATTCAAACCGAAAAATCCCTAGAACGGACCGGGAATCGAACACAACCGCCTCCATAGTATGGATTAGCTTTATTGAGAGATTTCAGTAAAATCTCAGTGCAGATGTCGCCACTGCATGATAATGTTCGTGTTGCATTAAATCCTAATTTTCATAAACCATGCACACAATCCTTCCAATATCGTGTACCCCCGTTAATGTTAACGACACTGCGTGCATACTAACGGAGTTCATTTTTAATTTGAACTTATAGTAAACCTACGACCATCAGAAAAGCAAGTTTCTGGTAGCCTTATTTGCTGTTTTGTTTTAATTCTGCCTTCTGTTTCGCTACGTTTCATTTCGGTTTTTCTCTGTTCCACGTTTGAGCAATTTTTAGTTTGCACGGCGTCAAGTGGACCCTACACGGTAATATTTTTACTCATTCAATCGGTAGTCCCAGTCTCCCTCGAAAATGCTTACTTTGTAGTCATTATTGGTAATTTTGCGGTTACCGTGTACATGATTGCTTTTATTGACAATAATCGTATTGTCAATACATTCTATATTGACGTCAATACATCGATATTGACAATATTTTTGTATTCACATCATCAATATTATTGTCAATAATTCCCCTTCGCTTCAATATATTGATACGTGTGGGGTTCGCTTCAGTGTTGGAAAAATACCAAAAAATCAAAGTACAGGATCACGTTTGATTTTCGCAAACAAAAATAAACAAGCAAACAATTGCGGTTGGTATTGCAAACTGTGATATCGCAGCTCATAATATCAAGCTAACAAAACTCACCAGCTGCAAATCTCACCAAGCTGTGGTGAGATTGCGTTTCATGATTTTGGCTTTACACCCGAATGCAACCGAAACTTCCATAAAGGCTAGTAGCGGCCGCTTCGTGTCCGCGATCGGTGAAGAGAATAAAGAGATAACATTATTATACCTTCTCTTTCTAATAAAACGAGGTGCAACGGAATCATTTTTGCGTTGATTCAACTCTCAGCTTCAACTTTACACGTTGTGAATAGTCTTGCAATATCAAAGGAGCTTGTAATATTTGCTCCAATATCACGCGCAGTACTGAAAGCGTATGAGAGCGGAAAAATATCAATTTACTAATGATTATGCCATAATCTGGACGGCGTGCAGACTAGTGGATTGCAAAATAAAAATTGTGCTGATTAAGAACGGTCATATTACCAGTGAAAAAAACCAATATTTGAAAATTTAATCCAAACTCGTACTGACTTTCTACAGTTAACCCTATATAATGATAAAAAATTATCGATTTTATTCATTTCCTACGAGTAATGGCAATTTGATATTATATCAACTCAGCATTTCAAAAACCTGGTAAAATTTACCCGACTTCGGTGATCTGAATACAGTGTGTAGAAACGTAAAAATATTAAAAATGGCCACAAAATAACGAAACTAAATTACCTAAAATAGCATCAAAACACAAAAATGACCTGTGAATACTTCTTAACATCACTAAAACGGACAGACAATTTTTAAAATGATAACTGAAATGTCCAAAAGGTTCTAAAACGCCAAAAATTTCCCAAATAACCCATTAATCGCATAATGGCATTTAAAATCGTAAATGATTTTAAATCGCCAAAGTATTTAATAAAGTATGATTCAATGAATTTGTTTCAAAATTTGTTTTAATTTTCGCATATTTTTGATGATTTGAAATTCAAGCCGTTCTTTAAAAAAAAAAACAATTTATTGTAATAACACTTAGATTATCCCAACATAATTTTGAATTAAGAAGAATTTTGCACGAAGTTTTTAAAACATGACCACGTTTTTCAGAGTTGGTTGGTAATGCTATCTAACATGAAGCTTTAGTGGGATAATTTATTACCTAGAGGATAGTCTGAAGTAGTTAGGTAGATAGTTCCACTAGAGTACACGGCAGTATGAAAATTGAATAGAAGTTTAAAATGAGTGAAGGGCCAGGGTTAGATTCACACTTATAAATAACTAATTTTACACGTGATGGAATCCATCTTTGACATAAAAGATGAGACGTAAACAAACATGTCATATGATGTTAAGTGCTCCGAGACTGAAAAGTTCGTTGCTCGACGAAGAGTACGTTTGATTAAGCTATATTTCACGTCTGTTATGACTCAAATTTATGTCAAAATTGACGCTCGTATATGTCACTCTCAGAGCACCTAAATTTACTTGTATTTTTCTAAGTGTGTAGCATTTCCAACCAACTCTGAAAATCGTAAATTTCACGTATGAAGTAACATAAAAACACTTTAAATGAGCAAGTTGTTCGAATTTCCGTGACCCACCTGGGAACAGCCAGCGACCCACAGGTGGGTTGCGTCCCATAGATTGAGTAACGCTGATTTAGAGTATAGTGCGAGTTGAGTAAATGAAGTTTCGTTGCGTTTTCTATCGAAAATGATGAGTATCAATATGTTTGCCTAACAATGGTAAAAATGAACATTTATTGAATATTGGTGTCCTATACTACCATTCCGCTATTATCACCAGTATGATAATGTATGCATTAAAAATTGAATTATTTTTAGTGATTTTTCATGCAAATACTCTGCATCGTCAATCATAGCAACCCTGTTGTGTACAGAAAAAAATGACAGCGTTATTAGTTGATTTGCAGCAGCCATGGCGGAAAGCAGTCAATCAACTACGCTCGATGGTTTGTTCGTACTGCCAACTCCATACCGGAGCGAAAAAGTTGGACATCATGAGGAACTTCGTGTCCGCCGGATATAGCCGATCCGCCAAGGCGAGAGCGTCGAACGGAAACCTGCTTCCGGCCGCCCGACGGTGCTGCGCGACCGTAATGTGCAGTAGAAGCTGAAGAGGAAGACCGAGTGCAAGGTGGCCTCATCGTTCCGCGTGAACCTGCCAAACGGTAAATAAGTACCTGGACAAGAAGGACATTGTTATCCGGAAGCGTCAGTCGAGCAGGCAATCATCTCGAAGGAGCGGCTGAAGGTTCTGGTGAAAAACATCTTTAAGACGAAGCGTGACGTCATGGTCGTGGAAGACCGCCATCCCTCACAACGTACCCCAGCTGCGACCGATAGAAAATTGTTGGGCGATCCTCAAGCCAGGGATCTATTCCAATAATTTCGAGGCCAAAACGGAAGAGCAGCTGATTGTCAAGGCCACGAAAGAGCTGAAGAATATGCCGACATCCACCTTTTCATCGGCCATTGCTAAGGTTCTGGCCAATTGCCGTAAGGCCATCCGGCAGGGCGTCGAAATATTTTTGTAGAAGGCTTAATAGACGGAGGATTTAAGGAAGATTTGTTCCATCGAATTACCTTTTGTAGTTCTTTTTTTCATCGCCATCCGAAATTAGTCCATTTTTTTTAATGCATATGTTAAAAGCTTTCCTAGTGGAAATTATAGATTCTATAGATTCCATAGATAAGCGGAGGCACAAAAAGTTGTTTTGGCAGCCATGAAAAATAAATGATCTTACTGGCATCCGTGAAAAAAGTTCATGCCATCAGAGAGCTCTTCGTTGTGCAGTTTTGTTTTGTTTCGTGCGTAAAAGTTCAAAATGAAGTGCAAAGCAAATCTTTGCAACAATGTATCGAGGAATTGTTTGATGTATCTTTCCTTCTTCCGTTGTCCGCAAAATAAATCGGAATGTGAAGTGTGGAAAGCGTTTTGTGGTCATAATATTACAATACTTCTCCCTCAAAAAACACCATGATGACGTCATGCTCGTTTGGCTACACTAACTGACAATTCGTTTGGCTACATTATACTTTTCCTCCGCTTATCTATGGAATCTATAGTATCTATAGTGGAAATCACACATATTCATCATATTCCGAAAAATGCAGGTGCGCAGGAGGTAACTGCTAATATATATATATATATATATATATTTTTAATTTTCCATAAAAAATATTTTGAACATGTACAAATGATAACGTTATCTCTGTTTTCGTAAACGTTTTTCCGAAACTCAGCCGTCATAATCGAGTACCACTTGGTTGCACATAGTTCTGCTTGAACCTGAAAAGATATAAAACAGCGCTGCTGTCGTGCCTCTGCTCAGATGAATAACATCCGAAGTAACAAAGCTGTATCCACACGGTTAGAAAAAAGTACCCAAAATTAAGTTCTTTTCACTCATCTCGGCACTATAGTGCAGGAACCCAAAAGTAGGTAAAGCGGGTCAAAGTAAATTTCATTTACTTGTGTGCAATTCGTATGGAATTTTCCACTGGATTTTTAACCAAAAGTAAGTTAGTTGTACCCAACAGTAGGTAAATATGATTATACTCAACGTTGGGTTCCCACACTTTACTACCCCTGTTGGGTGGTTTTGCTCCTCCGTTTTTGACAACATTTGAAGGAGAAAAGGAGACAAACTAGTCAAAAGTAGGTAAAAGTGAACTTTCCGTTGGGTACTTTTTTCTTACCGTGCAAGTCCACAGTCATGGCCTTGCTAGACGTCGAAAAGGCGTTTGACAATTTTTGGCATGACGGACTTGTATACAAGCTTTGTAACTTCAACTTTCCTTTACATCTGGTTCAAATCACCCGTAACTACCTCCAGCAAAGGTCGTTTAAGGTTTCGTTGAATGGTTGTCATTCAGACACGTTTTCCATCCCAACAGGAGTCCCGCAAGGCAGTCTGCTGGATCCCTTACTTTACAGCATTTACACTTCCGACATTCCTCCCCTCGGCGACGGTTGCGTGTTTTTCCTGTTCGCAGATGATACCGCAATAGCCGTCAAAGGAAGGATGCCTCGTGAAATAACGAACAAACTTCAACGATGCCTTAACGCCTTTGCTGATTATACCACC